CAGAAAAAAAATTATCCTACAGACTCCGTTATCCGGATTTCTCAGATTCTGATGATCCGTGATTTGTTCGGCATCCCGCTTCTATCTCTTTCGCAGTTAAGGACACGCTACGTACAAAAGTCCTTCCGACATTCCTTTTTTTTTTCTCTTCGCCCCAAGTTCCTCGTATTGCGAGAGAACGAAATACGGAAGAGCAAAAAGGAAAAGGGTCGTGAGGTCACTCCGCTGAGACCTGCCTTCATTTTATACCATGACGAGAATTACGAGTGATTCTATTTATAGGATATTACGAAATAATGGTGTGTCCACTGAACCTCCGACGAATAATTGCTAATGGCAACGTTGATACGATCCTCCCTTCTGGTGCTGGGCTTATCAATTATTTTAGCTCGATGGCAATTGAGTACGAAGATAAAAAAACAGGATAGCCTGACTGACAGCAATGATAAAGCTTTGGTGTGCAACGAGGACAACTAATTAATTCAATTAATGTAATTAGGCTATGCGTGTGAGCACCTTTTTCCCGGTTCAGAGCGTCGCGACGCAGCGAGATGTCAGGGTCTTGGAAAATTTTGAGAAAAAATTTCACACGATCCAAAAAAGTCAGTAGTGAATTAATTGATAAGGAAAAAAAAAAAAATGATTTTATATCACGCATAAACCATATACGGTCACATTTTGCCCGGAAAAAAAAATATTAACCCGCATAATTTTTCATCTTTATGAACCCATATATAAAATGTGTACCGAATAAAATTAATTAGTTTACCTGACCAACCTAAAAATTTATAAGCAATCTCAAGTCTCGACTCATTAGATCCAGTCGGATACAAAAGCAACGATAAATCCATCGTAATGATCTATCGTCTAATTACTGATGGCCTCGTTAAAAATTATGAGTTTATGGTATAGAAGAAGAAAAAAAAATTAGACACTAAATTAACTCATAATACACTCAACGTGTCTGATATTCCGAGGATTCTTGTATAATTTTCACATATATATCTCAGCAGCTTGTAATACAGTCCCAATGTACATTCCAGGTCGGAGCGTTCCACATTCCGCGTAACCGATCGACGGACACATACATGCCAGTCCGACAAATAATAATCGAGCGACGCAAGCGAGTGAAGCAAGTCGGAGGATCGTTTGAAAAATTATGACAGGTGCAGCTGCTCACTTCAAGTGAAACGGCGATACGCGTAGCCCGGGTAGCGTTATACAGAGGCGTTCCAGAAAGCGCCGAGGTATACATTCCAAGAGTTTCCGCTGATAGTTTCTTGCCCGGCGGAGCCGCGAGGTCGATATCTACTTGCTAAGCAATCAAGCCAGTTCTCTTAGATAAACATAACCCAGTCAAGTCGAAGGAAGACGAGGAGCATTGAGTTCCACGCGATCCTATCGTCGCTGTGGCCAGAAAGGATTTATGGTATAACTGGATCTTATTGAACAATCCAAAGACAGGGAATGATTGATCAAAAATATTTGACCGCAACGCAGTGACGGATGAACGAAAATTGAAAAAAAATTTTTTCGATAAGTTCAAAAATTTCCGAAAATGCGAATTGATAACGTTGATAATAATGCTATTTTTGGGTATTACACATTTTTTTGAAGTTCGCGCTGTCATTTTTTGTAGCAGCGCCATAGGCGTAGAGCCAGTGCACGTGCAGTGAATTGCAGCTTGAGCTAAGTGCAAGTAGTTAAGGTGCGCAAGTGGGTAGACAGCTAGCTGGGGGTGGCTTTTAGCACGTGTGTATAATACGGGTACACGCGTGGCCAAGAATGGTCGGACTACTGATGTGAGTATTTTATTTTTTTGGGCTCGAGAGGGGGGATGAAAAAATAGAGCGACGGGGGGATGGAGGAAAAAAAAAGTCTGACAAGGGGCGGAGACGCGAGGGGACGGTGGAAAATTCCAGCATTTCTCAGTCACGTTTCAGCCGACTTCGCCCGTGAGTCCTTTCGCCCACTTGCAACTGGCACTTTCTACTAATTGTTGTCAAGTGTAACGAATTGTTTTCGTCGGAGAGTCTACAGAGGCGACGGTGCAATGACTCTCATTGCCACTTTGCGAATATGCACGAAAATAAAGGGATTTTTGAAACGGTCGTTACTGCTTTTACACTTGCAATTTTTTTTTTTTTTTTTTTTTGAAAATCTGTCCCAAATAATTTTTTGGAAAACTTTTAAAAAGACGCGCAATTATCCTGGACACTTTTTTACACACATTTTTATCTCGTTAACTTTATATGACAGAGTCTCCTGCCCCGTGTTATTGGTGGGTCGGCGGGTAATTTAAAAAAAAAAAAAATTTTTGACATCAGTCTCTGTTTTCTTTAATCATGTTAAACTCTCCGTACGTGAGGTAGATTCTCCGACAAGAGAAATGCAATAAGTGCTGAATGAAAAAAGCTGGCTGGTAGTTTCGCTATGAAAGAGAAACAGTAAGAAAGGATATTCTTTTCTGGTTGTTCCGGTTAACCGAATGCTCCATATTGAAAGTAATATTTTTCAGGACCTCGTGATAAAAGGCGATTTGAAGAGGAGAAGAAAGATGAGGGAGTTGAAAGAAAAGAAATGAAAAAAAGGAATGATAAAGGAAAAAAAAAGAAAAAAAAGGAGACACCAGAAAAGGAGGTGGACCCTAAATTAGTAATTATGTTTTATCCTGTCGCAAGATCTCTTTCGACCCCCCCACTGTATTATCGTTAACGTGATTGCATTAATTTTTCTTCCATCTGCCAAGAGGAGGACCGGTGGGGCTCGGGTAAAAAAAAGGGTTTCGACGTTAAGATTTCAAACGTTATCGTCAAGTCCATAAATTATTATCATAATGAAATTTGGAAAATCTTCACAGTCCAAACAATTCTTACCCGATATTTGCATTCAAAATACAAAAAAATATAATTAAATATATTCTTTCGATAAATAGCACAGTGAACAAACGTCGCTTGAAAATATCATCATTCGATACACAGAGTATACGATATTGAAAAAAAATAAAAAAAAAACATAGTCTCTTGTCGTATACGAAAAGTGGTTGCTTTCATAGCTTTTAAAAGTACTTTCCGCGGTTATTCGATTATCGAGCCGCGCCATCGTGTTTCACGCTAGAAAGCAAACTTTTTACACGAAACTTGTAAGCGTTTCACAATTCGATATTTCGAACGTCCCGACGCCTGGGCGCTTTTGTCCGTCACGTTTGTTAATCTGTATCGTCACGAACAAACATTGCCGACAATTGATACCCGGGCTCGTATAGGTGACAAGTAGATTTTAGAATGACGAGCGAAAGGAAATTACACTAAATTTTCAAAGTTTCGATAAACGATAAAAATAACCACATAAAACTCTTCTTTACCGACCGTCGGTAAACGGTAAAATACTGTTTGCTTTGAATTCAAACAAAATTTCCGTTACACAAAGAAAATACTAAAATCGTGAGCAAAGGCTTTGTAACGATGTGTAATTATTATTATTACTGTAGCCAGCAACCGAAGTACTCGTGTGAAGTTGGGTTAACGGTCTGTTATTTAAACGAAGTGTAAACAAAGGAAATAGCGAGATTCGTAAAATCGATCGAGTCTGAACTGAATGAATTTTTTAAGGGACTTCCTAGGCGTCCGTGTTACCGAAGCGAAGCGTAGTAAAAGCCGGCGAATGAAAACCTAACCCAAACGTCACCTTAACCTAACCGTATAAGACATAACAAGACATAAAGGTATCATTGACCACGGTCTTAGGTAATAGTATGGAAATAAAAGAGGTTTATTATTTTCTTATTCCATATCTCGTCTCCTTTTATTTTTACGATCCTCGTACGGTTTATCGTCCTGCCGATAATAAAATGGCGCCACGTTCTTTGCGTGACCGTTCGTTATCGCAAGGCACATATTATCGCTACCTTGTTAGCCTAACAACGTAACTCTATATGTCATATGTGATTTAGGATAGGACATTGTTTTCGGCAGTGTTATAATATCGTCGAGTTATATCGTGGCGGCGCGACGCTTGGTCAAAGTAAATTTCACCACGACACTATCGTAGCCCTCAGCGTGTTTTGCACGTTCGGGAATCTGTTTTCAAGATTTCTCTATGTTTTTACATTGGCACCCTGTCTCTCGCTTCCCTGTAGTTCTCGAAATTCATTAGGGAAGTTCTTGCGCGTGAGGTTTCGTAGCGGCAAGGAAAATTGAATTAAATCTGTTATTTGAGGGAGGTTATGTTATGCTGGAAAATATCAAGTTTGAGAACGCGTGCAGTTGTAGATGGCGCTGGATAACGTCGATAAAACAGCAGGCTCCAACAACTTTACGTTTCAACGAACGTAATACCTAATTTCCATTATGGTTGACAAGACATTTAGTAAACAACAGTTTCAATTAAAGCTATAACGTAGGTTAATGGTAGTGGCAATTTTTTTTAATTAATCGGAACCATTTTATTCCTAATGAATCATTGTTTAATTGGATTTTCGATTATTTCCTCATTAAACGACCTAATGAAAACTACACGTGATGTAACAAACCATGCGAACCGTTGGATGGGTGTAAGTTTCGCTTTTCCGCGAGAATGGGATATATTTAACAAAAGTGGTTATAAACCACTAAAACAGGCTGCAGTGTATGCGCAAGTGTAATTAGTTGGTCGACGGTATATCTGTGAGAGGACAAAGTTTCCAACACGCTGAATTTTAATGAGCATATTGCCAGTAGCTCTAAAACTTGTTGCGATAAAAAATGGCGAATTAAATTTGTTAAATTTAAAAATTCTCATTCGAGAGGAATGCGTAGATATCGTTGAGATAACGCATGCACAATTTTTCGAAAAACGACAGAGCACTCAATCTCGCAGGTGACGTCGATCTCTCGTCCGTGCGACAATTTCATCATTTTCCGAACGCAATCGCCGTTAGCGACACCTCGTCTTTCCTTTTGCTTTCTATATGGAAAAAAAGCAGCACCACAAAAACAAAGAATTATGAAAATTTGACTCACCTATTTCCTGATTGGTGATTCTCGCATGGCAGGGACTCAAAGCGACGAGAGCGAAAATCCCAAGAATCGCAAAAAGCAAAGCCCTGCCACGACTGGTGGCGCCTCTCCCATCTCGTTCCATCTCGACGCCTCGACGTCCCGACGTACCGACGCCCCGACAACGTCACGTCACGTCAACGGCAAGAGCACTAATTCACTGTCCCTCCTCGACCCTGCGAACTCCTTGTCCACCCCTCCCTCTTTCTACCTCCTTTTTACTTTCTTCTTTTTTTCCGCGCCCTTTTACACGACACCACTTCCACCCCCACCAACACTTACACTTCCGCCCTTGGTCGTCCTCCCCACCTTCTCCTCTTACGTCCCTCCAACCCCTTCCGAGTACCACTTTCTATCGCTCAAATTCTCATCTGTCAATTCCTGCCCTCGCCACCCCCTTCCGGCTCTTCTGGTCCTTCCGCTTGATCTTCTCACCCCCACCTTCTTCGTCTTCTCTTTCTGATCGCCACTTCCTCCAAAAACTTCACCCCCGGCACGTTCACCCCTCAGTCACCTCCTCCTCAAACGCAACACCCACCCTTCGCACTTTTCCACTTACTTCCAAGAGTTACTACAGTTTGACTATATCCTACAAGAAGATGGCACTTTGTTTTCAGGTCCTCGCGCAACTTCAGCTCGATCGAGTCGAACCGAGTATAAGTATACTGCCTTGAAGGAGTCTTGATCGATTTTTTCTTATTAATCTTCCGCCATGTCCTGCCGAGATGATTTGGCCTTCTCTATTGGATTCCAGCAGGCGGCACCTGCTTTATGACACAGAAGGAGACGTTAGTATCTTGACAAGTATTGATAACCATTATTCGATATTTCACGATAATAATGCAATATACGTTATTCCCCTAACAGAAAGGGCAGCAAGAATTCGTATATGCACATATGTATATCCTCATAAGGATTTCTCATGTGACCTCAGGAGTCAAAGCGAATCTAGCGCGCTCATCCAATCTACGAGAAACGAGGTTACCCCAAGGCTCAAGTTACCCAACTTGAGCTCGCGTTACGAACAATGAGTCTGTTTACGGATTTAAATGGTTCGCTTCGAGCGTGAAATGGTCGCGAGTCGCGGCCAATTTCTCAAGGGATATTAACTCGTGGAAGGGACTGGGAATTTTAGTTCTCGCTTCAGAAATTTCGTCGAGGAGCTTTTGTACTTTTTTTTTTTTAAACTAAAAACTACAGAACGTAAAATCACCCTCGAAACCCAGTGACGCGTAGAACAAAGAGAATTCGTCAAAGGGACAACTTCGCGTCGGTCAATCCATTGGATTATGATTTTTTTTTTCTTACGCAACCCTTGAAATTACTTGATCAAAAAATTTATACAGGGTGTTCCTTTAACGTGGCTTCTTATTGCCCTCCTTTCTTTAAGGTGAACTCAGCTCAACTCTGGTTGGATCAGTCAGGACTTTTTTTTTTAATCGCAAACCTCTTTTTTCCAAAAGTTATAATTTAAGCTGATAACGAAAATCTTAGAGTCGTTCCAAGGTCACGTGGGTCCAACGGTCTTATCTGCAAATAGAAGTTATCCTCCTTACGAGTAATTTGCGCTGTACGCGTAAGGGAGCTCGGCAACCCTACATGGTATAGGGGATGATACACCCACTAAGTCAAATGGCAACTGCAGATTTAAAAGGGTGGCGCGCCAAAAATTGCACTCTGCCGTCTTCATGCGAATGGGCTGCTGCTTTGTGAATATTTTCAGGGCACTCAGGGCGCAGCATCCTTTGTCATATGAAAAGAGCGGTGATTTTCAACTGAAAAATATGAACGACGTATATAGGTGGAATGACGGAACGAGGAAAAAAAAATTTTTTTCGAAAAATAGTTGCTGTGTATAAGGGTGAGATGGGGGATGGAGATTGACGGTGACAAAAAATAAATTTACCTATAGGAGAGATTGGACGTATTATTTAAAAATTTTTTTTTCCTTTTTTTCTATCACGTCGACACCGTTTTTCTCCAGTATTGTTAGATATGGCAATTTTCTTGGATAATGAGGTTAAGGCGAAAGAGTCGTCGGGTTTTTCCTGTATCGTAGAGGAAAATTGTATTTTGCGAGAAAACAATGAATTTTTCCGTCTCCAGGCGATCTAGTTACTGACGGCAAATTTTTTTTTTCAACCATTTGATTTATTTTTCAAAGTTTATTAACGCATCAGTGGGTTATTCTACGAAACTTATGTCTCGCTCTTCAGTCAATAGTGCTTCTCGAAGTTTTTCGTGCGAGAAAAATGGCAAAGTAACCACGCTCAGTGGAATTTCCGAGTACCTTTTTTTTTATTTTTGAAAAACTTCTCGCCGAGCACGTTTCTTTTTTGTATTATGATAGACTATTTCGGTACTTGTACAATTTACTTGAGCAACTCCGAAATTCTCTGAGTCAACTTCGCTTTTAAGAATTTATGCGAATAATGTAATAGACTCCGCCGAAGGTCTGTCATCTCGTATTACAGTTTAATTTTAGAAAAAACAAAAAAGAAAAAAAAAAGAAATTCCACACTGAAACTTCAGCTCTCAGATAGTTTTCCCACCTGTTTACCTGTGTCTCCGTTATATTCCGCTTCCTCTATGCGCCAATCTTCGAGAGTGACGTTATTTTTGAAACTTAAAAAAAGTTACCTACCCTAATAGATAGAAGATCAAAAAATTGCATTGACAAAAAAAAAACAGGAAGCGTCCCAAGGAGATGGGAAACATTTGGCAATTGACAGTTTCGATCCTGACAATTGAAAGTTTTTTTGCTGGTTTCTTTTTTTCTTTTTCATTCGATATCCCAAATTCCGCGCACTATAAACGTAGAACGAAGTTACGTTATGACGAATCGAATTTCACATCGACCAAATGCGGCGACTCCAATTATCCTTTTTTGTTCTTCTCTGTTTTTAAAACGATTAACCCCGAGGGACACTAAAGGAAAATTTGCCATCTCGTTCGGTTCGACTCGTGAATTTTCGCGAGGTCGTCGCGAACAAAAAGTGTCATTTGCAACATTCAAGAGAACGAGATGAAAGATACAGCTTTTGTCCCAAAAGAAAATTGAGTTATTTTCGCAATTACGTAACCACTCACATTACGTATCTATCTATTTGCCTCTCTCTCTCTCTCTCTCTCTTTCTCTCTTTGACTGGATATTAACATTTAATCGTATTACAGCACTTGATCTTCCAAATGGTCCATAAATCCAATACACCCAAAAGACAGCATCTCAAAATCCCATATATTCCTCTAATCAAAGTCCAGAATCCCAAAACAAGCGTCCAGTACAAATAACACGTTGCCAGAAGTTAATTGACGTCTGGTCGAGTTTCTTCGAAGAATTTGAAAAAAAAAAGATTAACAAGTCCCAATTGATCGATTGTTCCAATATGATCATAGGCGACCCAGTATAAACAAGCGTATGGGGTATCGATTATGCTGTCATTATATCATCTGGTGTGAGGGACTAAAAAAAGAGTAATAACAAGAATCCATCACGTGTAATGATAAATAGCGAAACACATTTTGAGTACGTATAAACAATTTGAATGTATACTGTAAAATATTAAAAAAAAATAGAGATTATTATTATCGGCTATTATTATTTTTTAAACAACCAGATATTGTTCTTATTTAATAGGGAAAAAAAAATTCGCAATGTGGATTCTATTTTTTTTTCTTTTTTCAGGGTTGGGTATACTTAGACTGATAGTCTTATACATATATGTACCGGGTGGCTCGAGCGTCTTCGACACTTCGAAACATTTCGAGTTACCGAGACCACTGCTCTCAGAGCTTCAAGAGACGGGTTGGTCAATTTGATCAGGATCGACCTAATTTTACGAGCCATCAATGAAATTTCGCCAAGTCAAGTCAAGTGAGTCCTTACAAAGTTACACGTAACGAGGGGGGATGCACAGATCTGGAGAAGGTTAAGTTGGTCGATTATTTTTGGGGCTGGTTTAGGTTGATTTAGGTTTAGCATGCACTTTAGAGGTCGCGTTAGAAGGGACGACCAGAGATGAGTTAATTTGTGGATTTTAGGTAATTTTTCAACTTTTGCAAAAATTTTCGATATCATTTTTAAGACGAGGGCAAATCGTTAGGGGATGCTGAGTTTACGTAAAAAAAATGTTTGACTGATTATTTTAGGGTTTTTACGGATGAACGCGTGAGAAATCAGTCGAAATTGGCGGCTGATGTGGGATTCGGTTTACGGGCGACACAATGGACCGAGAAGTGTATCCTGGGATGATAGATGATCAGGACTACCAACAGTCAGGAATTGATCCTTTTCTCAATGAAACCATTGCTTTTGTGGAATTCGCGTAAATTCATTGTTTCGATTTATCAATGTTACTCGTGAAAGTTCTACTTTTTAATTGGATGGTGCACGACACTTTTTTTATATCGGCGACAGTCCCTAATATTCAAGGTGTCGTATTTGGAAATTTAATAAAAAAAAATTTTAATCGCAACGTCGGTCAAAGGTCGTTGGTAGACAATGGTAGACATTTTTTAAAAATGATATGTTTTTACTATTATTTTATTTTCATTGTCACTCCTGATTCGGGTCATTTTCGAAAATTCTAGATTTGCGCATCCGGTCAAAGTGACAGTAAAGCGTCGGGACGACCCCTCGACGCCGTCGTTTATTAGTACCTCGGGGTTAAATACTCTTACAAGTTGAAGGTCAAAAGTAATTTTGCGTCACGACTATAGAATTATAACGTAATGTGTTGATACCAAAATTTGATTAATTGTTTAAAAAATTTTCTAATCATATAAATTATTAAAAATATAAATCAATAAATTTATCGCTATTCCAATCGTAAGACAATCGTGTATAAATGTATATATATATATTTCATCTCACCTATTCACGTAAAAAGTGTAAAGATGAAATCAGCAACCCTTATAACTCCATGGCGATGAAAAATTTCGCACAGATTCACGTCACAAGCATAATTCAAAGTTAATAAATAAAAAGTATTCTATTCCTATCGGAATAAAATCAGCAGGAATAAAATCAGTTCACAGTTACGATTGACACAGTTCATTAGCAATTAGCGATTTATTAATTTTGAACCGACTGATCATATATTAATCACACTGACAATTCGCGCAAATAAACATTTCGGATAACGAAGAAATATCGTTCCTCTACGTCCTACGTAAATTGGATAAAATAGCCGGTGAAAAAAAAAATAAGTTTTTTACTTAATTATTGAAAACTGTCACCCGCTGAACTTTCGATATACAAAACACTGACACCGTAATGATTTAATTGATAAAAATTTCTCCCGACTTGGATAGTTCACGGATTATCTAGAGTAGGTACACACAAGCTTCTAAAACACATTGGTTATTATCAGTGAATTTCAAAAAGTTTATATAACTTTTTTTTTATTAATAATTTCACTCTTGAAAACCTGCCATGATAACACGATAAGATGATCCAAAAAAAATATTGAGATCTAACCAGATCGGGATGAGATCCCAATACGGATTTATACACTCGATAAAATATGGTCCATGGGCAATCTCACAGCATCCCGATATAACGTATCGAAATGTCGCGTAAGAATCTACAGGATTTTATCGATTGGTCGTTTAACACTTAATGCATAATTTATAATGCACTTAGCATAATGTCCAACGACATTTTCATGGAGATTCACCGAGACGAAATTCCAAAGATTTCTAATTACGATTTTACAAGCGTAACCATGCCCGTATCTAAATACGTGAAGGATCTCTGAGTGGTCCATGTATCATGAGAAGATAGGATGCAACGATTAAAAAAAAATCATTCGAAAGATCTTACATATGACAGATACACATGATCGATCCGGGATAAAAAAATTTAAGATTTCATCTCGATTCTCGATTTTGCGTATCACTAAGTCTAAATGATAAAAATAAATTTTTTTTTTAACCTTTCAAGGTAAAATTTATACGTGTAAATAAATCACGCTCTTATAAAGTCGAGCCTTTAAAATCTCATCAGGTCCATCCGCACGCGTCGTAAAGTCGTAGGGGCTAAACTTTCCAAGGGGCTGTTTTTTCTCACGTCGTTCTCCCACGCGCGTAACGCGCCGGATGTCACGTTATCTCGTGGAGGCTGCACGGCGAGCACTGACGCGATCCGGCGAGCGCGAGGCGCGCGCCGCTGGCTGACAGAAGCGCGCCCGAACATGGCCGATGATTCCCGAGCGATCCCGAACGACGATACGAGATCACGGAGCGTATAGGAGTCCGCGCGAGTGAAGATCAGGGAGGCGAGACGAGCCCGAGGGCTGATGCTGAATGATGCTGCAGATTCAAGGAGCACGCACAGCATCCAGTCTGGACCAAGATTAACAAGAACGCAATATACAACTTACAGACAAGTAACTTTCCATCTGAATCCCCCTAAAAGATAAACCACCCTCGAAAGCTTTAAAATCAAAGATTATACAAATTCCAAAAAAAAAAAATTATATCGAATTATCTTAGTCGAAAAAAAAGTAAAAAAAAAGTCGAATTCGAAAATAAAATCGATCATCGTTCATCTCGATTGGCTTTCTAAAAGATGGTCCCGCAGCATCTCAACGGGTAACAGTGCTCTTGTCACGGGCTCTACTCCTGGGATTAAAGATATATAGCGCACGATAAGAGATTCCTTCGAATCGAATGTAGAAACACATAGCGCAGGTATCGAACTCGAAATTGTTCGGCTACTTCATTCGTGCCGACTCGTGGGACCCGAGTAAGTAACTGCAGGTTAGGTATATGCAATACGGAACTGATCCCTTACAATCCCCCAATGACACGCCTATCTTTCGATTCATCGTAATCGAACTGCCCAAACTGATACAAGATTCACCAAATTCCTAGTTGCAGACGATTCGACGAAATGCATCTGTGCACCAGACAACATAACCAACAAAGAGAAAAAAATCAAATTTCTCTCCACAAACATCAATAATCACCTCCAATCCACTTCGCTTCGATTCACCAGATCGAACTGCAAAGTGCATTTTCAAATGCACTCCGAGCCACGCACGAGTGCATTAATGATGCATCTTCGTGACGATAATTAAAAAATTAAATATTTATTGACAAGTACCGTTATAAATATATAAAACATAATCCGATCGATTATTTGGTAAAAATTGAGTATCGATAAGTCGATCGATAACTGCCCCATAATAATAACAATAACAACAATTCAATTAATTTAATCAAAACACAAAGTGCATCCTATATTCATATGCAACTGTACAAACGACATAAGTGGCACGTGGCAGATATGCCAAATTGTTCATCTGAAAATAGTGAATGCCGACAAAGAGTAAGAGAGAGACAGATATATAGATAAACAGAGGCCACCTAGTGAAAGAGAACGAGAGAACAGACGGGCGTCGTAGCACTTGAATTATCGTTGTACCTTTGGCATCAAAGGGTGGAAGGTTCCTCGAGGTACCAAAGGCCGCATAGAACACTAAGCAACGAAGGAATGTAGCTACGATGAAAAAGCATATTTCAAAACGCATCCTACGATTCGGTCGCTTTGAAAAAGATAAATCATAAAGTTCATAAATCAAATTTTTTAATATATCCCTCGATCCTTATCCTGTTACGTATCGTACACATTTTTTCAATCCTTTTCACAAGTTCGCCGAGGACATAGCCAAAAGTGCTTCGTGCGTGTTCGGCAAAGATCGGCTCGATCTACGAGCGTACGTAAATTTCCCACAGTTAAGAATCGGTAGCAGGAGAAGTATCGACGATTCTCATGGGGATTGAGATATCCTTATCTCGATGATGCCTTAAGGATTGGATGACAGGTACACTAAATTTTTAATTTAATACTGTCCCACCCGGTATATTACCTGAATATAAGAACGATATATGGTGAATAAAATTTAGGTATATTTTCTGTTACTTTATTGTTACCGTATATCTCTATATGTATGCACACAGGTATATGGACTATAGGATCGTAATGCTTATCAGATGGCTCAAGTCTGATAAGCTTCTAGTTTCGAGAGTATATATACATATATATAGGTATAGCAAACAGGGCGTAGCACCTCTACATCTCTTGACGCCTACAGCTATACATATATATATATAT